TTATTTTTGTTGAAAATTTAAAATTACTTCTATTGAAAGGAAAATTATTAATTATCAAGAGCTTGAAACTTTCAAATTTTGAAGTAGAATGGACCGGATCTCTCATGATCCATTAGGCAGGCACATATACACATGAATGGACTCCTTTTATGATGATGCAATGGAAGACAATGTATCGGTGTAAACGAAATAGTACGCCCACACGTCCTTCAATTTATTTTAAATTAGTTTGACGCTGTTCTGCAGAAGGACAAAGCATGATCACAGGCGCTGTTATCCGAGGCGTATATTGTTTTTGTTCTGTCTGTCTGTTTATCTGATTGTCTGTCTGTTTTCAACTTTAACCATAACTTTGAACCAAAGGTATATAGAGACTTCAGATTTAGTATGCATACTTTGAATTCGTTCAAATGACACCAAGGTCAATGACCTTTTAACCTTAACTGTGACCCATATGCTAAGAATAGCCTTTTCTAACTCTCGTCGTTACTTTTGAACCATAGGTTATAAAGACTTCATATTTGATATTCACACTCCACTAGTTAAGTTCTTTCAAATTACAAAAAGGTCAATAACCTTGACTGTGACCTTAATGCAATGTACTATTATAATACTAGTTTTTTTTTTTCGAAATGCTTGCCATCGGCCGCACAGCGTTTCATAAACACATCTTGTTTAATACTCATTTTGCTCCTTTTTTAACATATAGACTTTAAGAATGATTTTCTTCTAAAGAAACTAGAGGTTCATAGGTCAAGAATATTATGGGTTTCTCCTAATCTTACAAGTAAGCCCCTACTGCAACAATAATAATTTGACATGAACTCTAATTTTACACTATTCGTGAAAATCGTTTCTAAATTATTAGAGGTTGGAAAAAAGAACTTCAAACACTTAATACACTTTGTCCCAAAAATGTAACTGAGCTATAACGACAAACATCTTGCAAATTGGGCTGAAGTCAATTACACTTTACTGCCTTCAATTAAAATATACACACAAATTAAAATTAAACAAGAGCACAACAAAACGGAGCATTCCATCGTAAGGAGAATACCTTCAAATAAAGAAAGCATACGACTTCACTTTTGATTTTTACAGTACTATCTCATTCGCCCACAAACGAACACACTCAATTGTGTTACCATATAACTCCGTTTCGAGGGGATAACCAGAAGTCTCTGTCGAGACTGTAGCTTTACTGGCTTGTATTTATATCAAAGGATGAGAAAAATAGCAGTTGGACGTGAAACTTTGTAAAATCAATAAAGACAGTATGACTCGTTTAGTACGAACACGGATATTTCAAATTTATGGATAAAATGAAGTTATTTTGAATCTACAGCTATATAAAGAACTGCGAACGATTGTATTGTTCTCCCACCTACCTCCAAGTCAATTTCCAAAAGTAAACATATTCGATGAATTTTTAATATTTTTTAAAGATAATTTTATGGATTTTCAAAAACATTACTTAATTGGAAAACCAAAGAGAGATAACTCTAAAATTTTGGTAAAACTTGTGTTTTTCACTATAGAAATCAACGGAAAACGGAAAATATTTTAAAAACACTCCTCCCTCCTCGTGTCACAAATATTCTTTTTTACAGTTAACATAAACTGTCATATTCATACGAAAGCTTTTAATTTGACACGGGGAGAACACATGTTTATTGACAAAAAAAACCCGACAAAATGCTTATATTCAACCAATTTAATTGGCAATTTACAACTGAAATATTATATTTTATTAACATATTTGTTTTATTTATTTGCCTAAAACATTAGAAAAGATATTAGGAACATTTAATCACATCCAAGACTATTTCAAAATATGGTAATGCTTGAAAGTCCGATTTCAATGGAAAATATCGTCTACTCCCCTCTTTTTAAGAGCGGGAATTGTGGATAATTTACTATCTAGCGCTAGTATTAAGGCAATCCATCATTTATCATTAACCTGTTCTTTGTATTAAACAAAGATTTCTTTTTTGCCAAAATGTTGTTTTTATTGAATTAAATGGATCCAAAATGTAGGTGGGAATTCATCATTTACCATTGAACTGCTCTTTGTATTAAACAAAGATGTTTTTTTTTTTGCTAAAATGCTGTTTTTATTGAAATAAATGGATCCAAAATGTAAGCGGGAATCGAGTGTTAGCATGCTGTAAACCGACTTTTATTTGCGTGCGAGAAATTTTCGCGAGATCCTCCTCATCGCGAATATTTCTCGCCGCGAACCGGTCCTGAAAGTTTCTGTTGTATTAACAACAAATTCACAAAATGTTTGATAGCAAAAATTAATCGTTGCGAACGAGTGTACCACCGGTAAATCGCGAAAATAAGTCGTCGCGAATAAAATTTGGTTTAAAGTATTGTCATTATCCAATTATTTTTCTGTAATTTATTATATAATATTATAGTATAAAGTCAACAAAGTTTTGTTTTGATTGTGTGAAGTTTAACTTTATGAAAAAAGTTCGTCTGATAAGTTTAAAAAGGTACACATGACACAAGGCGAAAATAATATAAACTTTGTAATTGGTAATGTGTGGGTTTTTTTTAAATGATAATAGTTTTCAATGCAAATTAAAAATTTAATAGATTGTTTTATATGGTAAAAGTCTCATGACCTTTTTTGATGTTGTACATATTGGTTATTAGGGGAATATAAAAAAAGGGTTTAGCATTGCTCTTCGCCAAAAGGCAAAAAAGAACAGGCCCAAAGACCATAAACTTAGAACAGATTTAAGTCAAAATTTGGATTTTAAACATCTTATGTTTTATCAACATATTAGCATTAAAAATTAATATTGTGCCTCGCATAAATTTCAATTCAAACATGAAAATAAATTATTTTATTTCAATACAAACTTATTTTGAGAGTAATATCGATTTTACTTAATTTTGACTTAAGTCTGTTCTCAGTTTATGGTCTTGAGACCGGGATTTGATGACACTTGGCCTTTTGTTTTCAAACATTTTGTGTCTTGTGAATCAGTCTATGTTTTGTGACCATACCTGTCATAATGTTCGATAATACAAATTATTGATTATTATTTTCCGAAATGTTACAGCATAAAAAAGAACGTACAGTAAACCACTGTGAACTTGAAATAAAGGACACCATTGCACATAGTTGAACTATGCACTCAGAGTATTCTGTATGGTGATATAATGTATAGAATAATGGATAATAATGTAGAATGCAGAATAATAATAAAAAATATTTTGTAAATGTCACTTAAATTGTTTGATAATTCATATGTGCTTATATTAGGATTTTTCCTTTTTTAAACTTGCAATTAAAATTGCAATTGATGAAACCTTGGTCACTCAAAAATATTTCTAGAAAAAAAAAGAGTTTTCTTAAAGAGTACGATTGACTGAAAAATTGGAAAAAGTGAATGCTTAAAATTGTTTTTCTTAAATAAAGAAAATTACAATATACTGTAAAATCACATATTTTCGAGGGTCAACTTGTCGTGGTTTGAGGAAAATATATTGGTTCATGGGGATTTGATTTCGTGGTTGCGCCATGGATTTTCTATTCTAATTTCAATGATATCCATGGTTGCAACAACCGAAATCAGCAAACTTCAGCAATGTTCTAGCATTACTCTATTTTTTTAAAAATTTGAATTGATACATTCCTTTTCTGTATTCTGATGGATTGAATATTGTTTTTTAAGGGTGCATCCCCTATGTTCAATATACTGAAAAATCACATATTTTCGAGTGGTCAACTTTTGTTGATATGAGGAAAATATATTGGTTCATGTACAATTGGTTTCGTGGTTGAAAAATTTTCCAATAGTTTTATTTGTGAAAAATTGCATTTTGGGGTGGACATAAATTCGTGGGTCTCTTCATCATGTCCATAACTAGAAAACTACAAATTTAACCCCCACGAAAATTAGTGATTTTACAGAATCATGAAACAGTATCATCTTCATCGGTTTATGTGCAAGGTTTCGTATTTGGCTGAATCTGTTATTCCTGCTTTTTTCACCAGCATAATTGGTTGCTTTAAATTCTGTTAATTACTATTAAGATTTCGGTTATTCATTTTTGTCGTTAACATACACCCCATTTTTATCTATAGTAGTGTGACCAATGAAATTTGTGTGAAAAAATTGCAATGATCAAAGTGCCTCCAGGCTTATTAAATTTAACAGGTGTCAAGGACTTCAGAGTTAAGACAGTAGACTTGAGTTAACAATTACCTCCTGGACAATGCAAATAATTGATTAATTAATTGATTAAGCAAATATTGATTAAATAATTGATTAATAACTCTATTGTAAATGTTATGTAATTGTATGTAATTTGCTGTTTTATACTTTTATCAGTTATCCACGCTGGCTTTCGCTCTCAGCCACGTATGGACAGCCTGTCTCTCGTCCTTTTAAAGCTGCATATTTGGAATTCTGTCCTATACATCACTTTAGTGAATGCGCAATTTAGACGGTTTTAATAATTTGTACTGTTTAAGGCACTAACAAATTGCAGTACTACCAGTTGAATGAATACTGCATTATAATTAAATACAACGAAAACATCATACTCTTTTATCAGTTTAGTGAATGGTGTGGTGCAATTTTGACGGTTTTAGTAATTAATTCTTAGAATGTCAGAAAAAATGACTTGATACAAATGGCAGATAGTTTGTTTGCTTAGAATACATGTTTTCTCAGCTTCACTGAATTGTGTCATAATTTGAACTGATCATAATGGACATATAATTTGCAATTTGTATGTAATTACAAATCCCTGTAATACTTCGGAATAAAAAACATAGAAAATATTACATTGTGCTTACAACGTGATATTTAAATAATTCAATGAATTTTGTTATATCTCGTTATAAAATACATTTATCCAAGGCAAACAAAACTACGGAAAGATTCGCTAAATATACGTACTAATGTAACAGTGTGTAATTGAAAATCTTTCACAGAGAAAAGACTTAAATTAAATGTTATAAAATAAAATTACTTTAAAAAGAAAATACACTGTTTACAGATGCAAATAGAGAATAATGTTTCAAAAAAAATTTTGAACCCTAGTTATTTATCCGAATGCCGTAATTACAATTTTTATATTAATTATACTTTTTGAGCAAGGGATGCGTAATTAACATATTCCTAACAAACAGATTTGCTTTTTTTACTAAAGATAATTGTATGTTTGTTGAGAAACTCCGAAAAATAATTAGCACAAATTGTTCGTCCTTTGCTGTAATTATAAGGCTTACGTCCATAAAACTTCTTGATCAGATCCATGTTATAATTTGCATTAGGTTTTCTAAGGTTTTCATTATTCCCGCCTACGCTTGTGTGATGCACAGCTAATATTGTTTGGGTAGTTTCAATAACTATATAACCTCGGTCAAGCGACTCCATAACTATAAAGTTATCCATCCCACATCTTCCAGAAACCACATCAAGCAGTTCTCCCCATGGAAAATTTTTGGACGTAATGAAGTAGTCTTCAGCCAGTGGAGTCCACAACTGCCCCCTGTCTTTTGAGATCTTTTTAAGAGTTTCAAAATTCGTGGCTTCCTCCATAGTAACATTATCAACGTTTGTTCTTTGACCAACAAGAAGGATTACTTTATCTCGAAATTCAGGTATTCTAATCAAAGCAAGAAGTGTTTTGATGAGTCCTTCTGTAAACATTATGTCCCCACTCGCAAAACCATAGAACCACGAATCGTAGTGTTTCATAGCGTCTAAAAACAAGTTCTTGAAAACAGGTAAATCGTTACCACTTCCCACTTTTGTCACCGGTAGTGTTTTCCAGCCGCCTTTTTCAACGGCATGTTTCAAATTTTCGTCATTTGTAAAATAAATTGGGGTAAAAAATTCCTTAAATTTAATCCAGTTAGCCACGGTGTTATTTCGAACATCATATTTTTCTGGATATTCGGGCGTTGGCCAAGTTGAAAACATTGTCAATAGACTACGCCCTTCATACTTAAATTTGACAGACTTTCCAAATGGTTGACGAGAAGCGTTCATGAATGTTGAGATGTATAGTCCACATGCGGTACCGACAGCAAAAATTACAAGGATACTTTTTGTACGTTTTTTCCCAATCCAAAGAGTACGAGGTCTAAAAAAAAAATGGAGCATTTTTTTTATAATTGTTAATCTGAGGTTATCGAAAAAAATAGCTATTTGCCTTTGGGCCAAATTAAGTGCCTTTAGTAAGTAGTAACGGTTGAAATTTCAAGGCTTGCACACTAAGAACTATCATTCAATTTTTTTTTTTAAATTATCCGTACAAAAATTCTATATATTTTATACGGATACTTTCTATTTCGTAAAACTTTATTTTACAAAGGCAAAGATTTCAGTATGCACTGCATGCTCACAAAATTATTAAATAAATATTATTCACTTAAATATTCAATTTAAAATAAAGAAAGCCGGAGAATACTGATACCTTAATGATGACGAAATGGTACTCATTTCAACAGATATTCCTGAAAAATAATAAGCTCTTAAAAACAATAAATGTATTAAAATGGAGTAACTAATCAAAAGACAATTTCTAGAGGTGTTTTTGTAGGGTTCAAAAAGAGTTTTCAGAAAGGTCCATGTCCACAGTGCAAATTTGAGAAACCCTGATTAGACATATATAAACGCCTTATTCTCAAAAAGATTCAGTTGCAGGGTCAGGAGGTGTGGAGAAAAAATAATATTCATAGAACAGTTAGATATGTAAAATACCTGTATAAATAGAAAGGATTCAAGAAGTTTTTGGTATTTATATTTTATATCAATAAAAAAGAGTGTATGGTTTTAATATACTGCTCAATAAACTTTTTAAGCTCTTATGGTTTTTCGCACAAATTAAGGTCAAATTGTTGTAATAAAAATTACCATTTTCGAACTGCAGTACAATGACATAACCCTTCGTAATATTACTTATACAATGTCAAGCATAAATGTCTTTTAAAATTATTATCTCAAGTTTCCAATGTGGATTTTTTAAAGGAGAATTTATAAATAAATGGTAGGATGTTTCGACTAAATGATTCTACCATAGGTTTTAACCAATTGTATTAAACGAGATTTCCTTGACACCATGTGATTGAAAATTTTTGATTTTCTTCTTCAAGGTGAGTATTTTCTAAAAATCTTTGCTAATTTAGCATACTCCTTTTGGTTTTTTCGAAATGTAGTGCTCAAAAGGGATAACATTGCAGAAGGAAACCACACTAAAGGGTAGGATAATGAAGTATTGTTTGTTGTTTTTTTTTTTTTCAATAGTAAATTCCTTCTATGAAAAGGAAAATTCTGCATTTACGGTTTGAAACGTTAAAATTTTGCAGTGGGATGAATCTCGCATGATTCTAGATTTTAGAAGTTGACTCTGAAAAATCCCACCTTATTAACATACAAAGCAGACAAACAGATGTAAAATACTATTACCACCCCGAGTTAAAGTGTCAAAATGAACAGAAAATACAGTTACAGTAGCTGTACTGTGCCCATGTCTACGTTTCTGTCAAGAGCTATTGCTTTCAAAAGAACGGATAAAACAGCTGCAATTTGCAAGAAACCACAAAAATTCAAATTCAATTAAAATAGTTGTTATTTTTCAGCCATGAATATATCAAGGTTCTACCAATTGATTTGTGTGAATTATGTTTCAGTAAATGAAATAAAACTCAAATTTTGTAAACAAATACTTTTAAAATGTATTTTGCTGTCACGATACACAATATTACATCCAAACAATGTGACCTTAATTTGTGCGAAAATCCACGTGAGCTTAAAAAGTTTGTTGGGCTGTATATAGGATCTCCCGTGATTTGTAGCTGGATGTGATTTTTATCCAACGATTTTTGTTATTCCCGGAGCCTTGGGGATAAAATCCAACAACAGTTGGATAAATGTCATATCCAACTACAAATCATGGGAGATTCTTTTTAGCTCATGTTTTATACGTCACAAACAATGTTAAAATACACTCTTCTTTTTATATATATACTATATCTGACGCCACTTCATTTTTTTCTTCATCATGCTAACGCAAAATCCATTGTGACATCAAAACTGCACTTAACTGTGGGATATAAAAAAATTCAATGAGTCACATCCATGGGATACAGAGAAAAAGACTCGTACGATATGCAAAATTTATCGTCACTGTATTGATTTTTTTTCAGAAATATCAATGCTTATTTTCTTAAATTAATTTTCAGAGTCTATAGATAAAGACACAGGTCTGTAAGAAAAATTATACACATATAAAGGGCGTCTTGTTAAGTGTGGCAGTTTAAGGAGTTCATCCTTATATGGCGGGTTTGAATGCTACTTTGGGACGCGGAGACCGGTCCTTCGGATGAGAAAGCGTATAAACAAAGGTCCCATGTCATAATAGATGATGGCAAAAAATCACTGAGTGTCGAATAAAGGACAAATAAGATTTTAAAATTGAAACAATAAATGAGGCGTAATTTTCTAGCTCTTTAAAACTACTTTAAAAATCACATGGACATTTTTAAGAAAACAAAAATGTGATGTTTAGAATAATAAACCTTTTTCAAATCCCTAACGCCTCTACACGTGTTCTTCTATGCTTATTGCAGGTTCCTGGCACGATAAGGATCCCTCACTGCTTAATGGCCCTAAGTGCCGAGTCAATGTCAAAATTTGAAGCCCTTCATCTATTTATTATTCTCGAAGGGGATGTAAAACAACATACAATCATTTTTGTTTGTGTATTATGATTGTTCCATAATCCATTCTCTACGGATCCCTAAGATACTTAATTAAAAATTAAATTTCAAATATAAACGACTACAAGAAATAGAGATACATCAAAGCTGCAAACATAATCGCCTGCAAACTTTCTAAAATTACTAGTAAACGTAATCTCACTGAATCTATTGAAGTAACATAATATGCAGCGTTTAAATTATATGCATAATCGAGTCACTTAAGTTAATTAAGTAATTTTTTTTTAATTCATAGTACTTACGTGTTTGTTTGATTTCAATTTCCTCCTGCTTCTCGTTTTCGCCGATTCTATCTGAAAGCTTGCGTTGAAAATATATACCCAAGGAAATTCAATGAATTCGATTCTAAAATTTAAAAAAAGTAAAGCGCTTACAATTACATAAATAAAATTTAGCCATCAAATATCAGGTTTTTAACATGTTTAATGCAGCGTTGAATAATCCCCTCGACTTTAATTTGCTTCTGTTCAGTAACTTTACTCTTAACACGTTAAAGACTCCATGAAAGGAACAGACGTCTGGCTTTCGAAAATCAGTTAATAAGAGTATAGTGGTCGAAGCTGGGTTTACTTTGCTGAATGTGTGCATTTATTTCCTAATATGAGATGGGTGGTAAATATGTAATCATTTATATCTGAATAAAAAGAATGGATTCCGAAGAAGAGTACTTAATGGAAGCATATCTTCATGTGAATTGTCATGCAGGGTACGATGTCGTTAAGTTTATTTAATTGTAGGAACTTTCTTAAAATTGAGGGACATGTCATAAGCATTTAAAACGAGAGACCGTTTGCATTTCCGATTTTCTTGTATGGTTTCCAAATCGATTTATAATTCATGGCCGGGTTCCACAAAACTATCGTTAGATTTTTCCGAAAAAAGATCTTACGATCGTCTTAAGATCTAACTTACGACAATCATAAGGTTTGCCACTGTTGTTTAACAAAACTATCTTAAGTATAAGAAATCTTAAGACAGTACTGCAGCTCAACTCATTCAGATAAAAACATAACAAAGTTACCCCCACCACCCACCCCTCCCATCCCATCGCGTTAAAGAGTCTACTCTAGAGTCGCGGCGAAAGGAGCTGATCCATATCACGCGGAGCTTGGAGACCGGTCCATCGGATGGGATTGAACTGTAAGCGTAGAAATGAATGCCATAGGAAGAGACTTCTACATGTATCCTTTATATAGAAATCATTTATTGAATTTACCGATTTCCATTTCAACATATTGGAAGACCCAGGTTTGATTTTTCTTTTATGTTGTGCTGAAAATTATGCTTCAGTGGTGCGGATAATAACATAAATAATGTAAGTAAAATCCTATTATTTCTTTAAGTGGGGTTCGTTTTATTTCAAATAGTTTACTTAATAACTGCTGAATTACCATCCCCCTTTTTTAAATCACTGTTCTATTCAAAACAGGTAAATGGTTCTTAAAAAGAAAAAAAAAGAAGTAAAGGTGCTATTTTGATTAAAGAGTTGTACCAAGCTCAAATTTATTTACAGGGATAAGAGATGTAAAAAATACTGCACATCATGGTTAATTAATCAATATTATAAGGACCTCCCAAATGTCTAAAATTTAACACAGGTGATATAATAAAAGGACTAGTTGGCTTGTGGTATAATTTCCTGTGTATCAAATACTGGGTCAAAATTAGTTGAAAAAAAAAGTTAGAATTTTCATTTATTTTTATAATTCATAGATATTAACTAAAATCTAAAAATTTTACTTGAAATAAGGTGAATATTACAAACAGTGATTTATCACAATAAAATTACAAACAATACAAATACGCAGTACATAATCACAGAAAGAAAACCCTATTTGTATGTGCTCAATTACCCTGAGTGCCTAGTTTATATTTAAAATTTGCTGCCCTCTGACGGCAATTAGTGACGTGTTATAGGCCTGAAAACTTGCTATGGCAAGAAAAGAAATATGATTTAGCAAAGAGAAAATAAACTATGTTACCTGTCTACGACTTTTCGGGACAACCCTCGTAGAAAAGAAGAGTCTTAAAAGCAATTTGAATGTAATATCTGCGAAGAAATATGGATGGGTTTTTTTTCTTGTCCCTACGAACTTGTTTTTGGAAACAAGTCATTTGGTATACAGCTGTACTCTATAATTATATCTCAAGGCGGTTGTGTACTTTTGTCTAATACGGTTACCACAATCCTGTGAAAGGTACACGATTTGGGGAACGGTATGCAAATAAAGTGGGCGGAGCATGTTTGCTTTAGGCCTTAACTGACTGCTAAAACTTAGTCCGATGTGAACGACTTTTGATGTGTTTTATGCACGTACATAATTATATTACCGTTATTAAAAAATGTAATTTATTTATTGTTCATATAAATTTAAGTTTCAATGAGTTTCTCTTTATCTAGGAAGTTTAAATGTTTTATTATGCAATTGTTTATCATAGTCTTGTATGCTCTTCTATGTCTCACTTTCAATTTAAAAATAAATTTACACTGCAGCAGTGATGGAGGAAAAATGAAAAATGAAAGGAAAAAAACAACGTCCCCCCGATCTCTTTGGCATTATGTATATACATGTATCTACTCAACAAAAAAAAAAGAAACGCATATTGTTTATCTCACCAAATAAATTTGAAAAAGTATATGGAACAACTATCTTTTCTATCATTGGATACCTGTGACCTATTTAAATTACATAATGGGCTTTTCAACCCCTGTTGTTGAATTATTTCTCTTGATTAATCATGTTTATGAAAATAGTGTTTTCCATGATTTCTTTTAATCTGGGGTCTATTTTCAATGAAATTATTGTATTTAGAGAAACAATAAACACTTCTATTAAACCCTTATGTATGCTTTGCTGAGAGGTCGCAAAGGATATATGGATTGGTTAAGAGTTAAGACGCATGCCTCTAAAGTTTGGAGGCAACGTCAATGACATCAACTTACGTTTCAATTTGGAACATAGGGCATGTTTGATTTTTATCACAACACACTCTAAAATCACTTTTAAAAACTAAAGTTTAAACTGAAACTTATATTTTCATGTTTAATCTGAATATCCGTTTCTTTTTTTTTTTCTTTTTTCTTTCTTTTTTTTTTTGTTGAGTATATTACGATACCCCCAAAAGTGAAAATCAAAAAAAATCTCATTAGTGTCAAAGTTTCACCCGCGCATCTGTCACATCCTTGATTCTCATTTGCATGGAGTTCATAAGAGTGATTATTTTTCAAACCCTGGCTATATTGGGCATGGGTACATGTAACCACGCCGAAAATTTAGTCAAACGACGCGCGCAAGCACCAGTGAAAGAACACAAGTACAGTTATTAATAAATATTGATTTAGCAATACCATTCAATTAATTGTAAGGCTTTTTCTAAGGTTCATCTTAAACAGAGTACAGGTCACCTGTTATTTATGTCTTTTGTTCTGTCCCTCCCCTTACCTGTTCATCATTCCCACCTAGCCAAACCAGTCACCTGTACCTTTTTTCAGAGTTTTGCATAAGTGGGAAGACACCGAGGGTCATTTTTCAACGTTGAATAGTGAGATCAAAGATGTTGAATTTAGACCTCAGTCCGTTGAAAACTGAGCCGGGTCGTGGAATTTTGGTCATGATACCAAAATTCAACAGCATAAAACATATATTTATGACTTGGTTTTCACAACTATGATTTAATCCATAGGCGTCGGGAACGGGGGAGGGATGCTTACCCCCTTTTCTTTGCAAAGATAGATAAAATATAGGTATTGAACAATGTGAAATTGGTTTAGCCCCCCCCCCCGCTTTCAACAGTCACGTTACAGAGTAGTCAAAGAAAGAAGAGTAAGTGGTAGTGTTTTTAAAAAAGTAATTGGATCCTACACCAAACCACCCGACCCCAATAGAATTTTCGGGTTTGGACTACTAGTTTGGACAATGGACAAATTTTCTTTTTCTCGTCAATTTTTTTTTCAGATTTGATTTTTTTTCTTTTTCATTTTGTTCCCTGCACATTCAATTTGCTTCCGACACCAATGTAATCAATGCACACTTAATTCAGTTATTCAGTTATATTCTTAGAATAAAAAATATTTTTAAAAAATGTTAAGTTTCAAAGTTACATGTAGCTTAAAATCGCAATATTTTGCGTAATATTTATTTTTAAAAAATGTATATTTGTATATATAAATCCTGAACATTAGTAAATATAGTTACAAAATATATAACTTATAATAACTTATAATGTCCAACTTGAAAATCGGATTTTTTCAAAATAAAAGGTTTAGTGATCTTTTCCGCATAGTTAATCAAACAGTTCAAAAACGAACCTCACAATTAATAAATATTTATTTTGTTAGTTAGAGGAAGTAAAAGGGGGTGATCTCCCCTTTTTGGGATTAGTACCATATATATTTGAAGAATGTGTTTTATTTTGGGTTTTTTTTAATCTATTTGTGACTGGACTAGCTGTTTTCTTCATTTTTGTAGTTTTTTAAATAAAAAAAAATGTTTGCCTTAGATACACAACCCTGACTTTCAGCATTATCTAATATTTGTAATAAAGTAGCCAAAATATAACATTGAAGCGGCCCTTCCATCCAATTAGAGAAGCATGGTTTGGTTTTCAACATTGGCTAGTTTCCCTTTCCACTTTTTGTTTGCATGTTTGTTTGTTTCGTTTCGTTTATTTATTTTGTTTATGGTTTTTTGTCACAATATTTCTTATGGTTTTGACACCATGCCCCCGCCTCCGAGAAAAACTCTAGTTGTTGATATCAAAGATGGCTGGAAGTGGGGCTTCTAGTCCATCCCAGACTTCTCATTCTCAAGTTATACTCCAAAAACGATCGATTTTGAGGCCGAGGCAGGCTACTGACAGATAAGTTTGTTACAGGGATTTCACCAACCTTGTTTAAAGTCAGCATTACATACATGCTATGGTCGCTATATCGATCTTATTACCTATCATTGGATTCATTTGGCCGATGTGTTTCATTCTAATTTTTAGGCTTTTAATTTTGTTATTTTTTATTCTGAATTTCACTAGATGGGATGTTCTGCCCACCTGAACAATATATATATACATGTAGGACTCACTTTCTAGTCACCAGATATCCAGGATTTTTGTTTTATTCCCTATTCATAGTTTTGTAGTTATTTATGGATGCTATGGATTTTAGAAAGTATTGTCAAAAAATAAAGTTGTCATGCTTGAGATAACTAAAATCGTGTATTGATCAAAATGTATATATATACAGGGGATTATTAAATAGGTTTATTTCTATAATTCTTGAAAAGGGAAATAATTGAATAATTGAATAATTGAAACCGAAA